AAAAAAACTCAATAAAAATATCTGATGTTGTGGGAAACTTGAAAGGGAAAAAATAAAATAAGAGAAGTAGCAAACGGAAAAGAGGTTTGGAAGGTGTTGTAATTGGTAAACATCCACACGTCAAAGCAATCACGCCACTGAGTCATAGTTCGTGGAATCTGTTGCTGTGCTCATTTTATTTTCTTTTTATGTAAGTATTCCCATATTTTTTTTGTGACAATGAGAGTTAAACTACCTAATTTTTTAGCATAATTTTTTTAAATTAAGTTTACATATTAAAAAATTAAATAAAATAATATAAGTCACAATAGTTAACAATTCAAAATATTTAAAAAGTTTGTAAAATCATGGTCAATAAAAACTACTTTAACTTTTCAAATAATAATTGATAACATAAACTAGAACACATTGAGTATTATATTATTATTATTATTATTATTATTATTATTATTATTATTATTATTAGGAGGATTAGGATACTTCCTCCAGATTTGAAAAACCGGCGTGACATTAAGAACTAACCAACAAATAGTAATGGCAAGAAAATGGGAAAAAGCATTCTGCACTTTTTAGCTCCGACCAAAAGAAGTATGAACATGTCTTTCATAAAATGAGAATAGATGCCATTCTTGCATTTCAATATCTATTTAAAAAGCAAAGGGAAGATTTGGGACGATAATTTGAGCCCAAAATTATTTGACCCGCTCATTTGTTGAACGTAACCCATCTTGATTCTAGACCATTTCAGTTCATCTAAAGTTGAACTGTTTATTAACCCAAATTAATTCATGAGTAACTTTGCTAAAATATATTTAAAATTATTCTTGTTTTGTTTGATATGTTATATATGACCAAAACAAAAGAAAAAAAGTCTTATTTGATAATTAACAATTCATAAGAAAATAACACACATTAATTAAAGCTTGATAAAAATTGGACGAGTTGAGCTATGACCTAAATTTTAGTTCATCTTGACCCAGCTCATCTCGACCCAAGTAACTTTTAGGCGAATCATTAACCCGCCCATTTATTGACTCGGCTCATGTTGACTAGCCCAAAATCAGCCAACCCGACCATTAGACAACCTTAGGGAAGATACTCAAGTGCCTATCATCATATGCTTAACAACCACTATGGCTGCTTGGTACCGGATTTACCCCTTTAATTTTGAAGAATTAATCTAAATAGTCGTTCATATCTGATCGCTTAAATAACAATGATTATGGTTCATTAGGTCGTTTCTGATGCGCCCAAAAAATTATTTGCGATTTGGGTCCGGTCGCCCGAATTCATGAAGATGGCATGGACATTAGCACAAAAAATCGAAAATCATATTGAATTCCTGTTTTATGGCCCTAAAATTCCAAAAAGAGTACCGGTTATGTCGAAGCAATGACTATGGTTCATTATGTCGTTTTTGATAGGCCCACAAACTTTAGTCGATTCGGGACCAGTCGTCCGAATTCATGAAGATGGCATGGACATTAGCACACGAAAAATCGAAAATCGTACTGAATTCATGTTTTATGGCCCTGAAACTCCAAAAAATAAGGAACGGTCATGACGAGGCTATGACTTTGGTTCATTAGGTCGTTTCTGATGGCCCCACAAAATTTTAGACTATTCGGGACTGGTCGTCCGAATTTATGAAAATGACGTGGGCATTAGCACACGAAAAAGCGAAAATCGCACTAAACTCCTGTTTTATGGCCCTAAAATGCCAAAAAATGAGGAACGGTCATGGCAAAACAATAACTATGGTTCATTAGGTCATTTATGATGGGCTCACAAATTTTAGGCGATTCGAGGCTGGTCGCCCGAATTCAATATGATGGCGTAGGCATTAACATACGAAAAATAAGAAACCGTGCTTAATTCCTGTTTTATGGCCATAAAACATCAAAAAATGAAGAACGGTTATGGAAAAGAAATTACTATTGTTTATTATGTCTTTTCTAATGGGCCCACAAAATCTTTTACTATTCGGAGCTCGTCGCCCGAATTCATGAAGATGGCGTGGATATTAACACACAAAAATTGAAAATCGCCATGGATTCCTGTTTTTTGGTCCAAAATGTCAAAAAGCGAGGAACATTCATGGTGAACAGTATGGCAAGAAAATGGGAAAAAAGCATTCTGCACTTTTTAGCTCCGACCAAAAGAAGTATGAACATGTCTTTCGTAAATAAAAGAGAAAACTACCCTCTGTAGCCCCTCAAAATTTTAATAGCCCATATTTTTGCCCATTGACACAAAATGACCCTCCGGCCCAAACATATTACATTTAATAGCCCGAAATATCTATTTTATATATTTGTTGTATAGTGACAGTCTATTTTGTATATTTGTTGTATAGTGACAGTCTATTTTTATAGTTACAGTATATTTTGTATAATTTTTTGTATAGTGACTATTCTATTTAATATATATTTTGTATAGTGACAGTCTATTTTGTATATATTTTGTATGGTGATAATCTATTGTATATAAATTATACAGTGACAGTCTATTTTGTATAGTGACAGTCTATGTTGTATATATTTTGTATAGTGACAGTCTACTTAGTATATTTTTTGTATAATGACAGTCTATTTTTGTATAGTGACAGTTTATTGTATATAAATTGTATAGTGACGGTCTATTTTTATATAAATTTTGTATAATGACAGTCTATTTTGTGTGTGTATATATATATATATATNAGAATAAGGAATTAAGCAACACATGACATTCCCATATGCCATGAATCTCTACAACTGACACAAAAAATATTAAGGTGTAACTTATAAGCAACATATGACATTCCCATATGCCATGAATCTCTACAACTGACACAAAACATTCTCCAATATTTAGGACACGCCCTAATTAAAAACTTATTTTTATCATCAATAAAAATCCCTGTACAATCCAAAAAGGGGCATTTGATTACCAACGGCGAAACCAAAACCTCAGTTTCTCTGATCGCATCTTCTACTCGATTGAGAAAATCTCTAGGCATTAAAGACTTAATATCCAAAATTCTCTTGCAACTGGAAACAAGGCATTTCACTTCTTTTATATCTTCATCGATTTTTTCTCCTATATTATTTTTTATGCATTCTTCACAATAATAGTGCCTGCAACTGCTGTCCCGTATCAACGTATTAGGGGGTTTCGCATCGTCACAAATTTCACAATAAGTGCAAGACGATTCCCCCTTTTCCAAAATATTTTATTAGTTAACCGAATAATTTTAATTTTTTAACCAAATTATAAACATTAATTTCGAACATTATATATCCCCTATATTTGGAGCATTCTTGAAGAAGAAGAAATTTTGTGGGAACGTCCAATGTTTATGTAAGCAAAGAGAGAACAATGAGCACATATTGAATTATAGAAGAACAAAAAAGTGATATGACGGCGGTCGTCAGGCGAAGGCGGTCCCTCGGGAGTGGATCACGACGGAGGGAGTTGATTGGTGGTTCAATACGGAGGCGGCGCTTGCGACGGCGGCATTCGGCAGCGGCTTTTTCGGCTGAGGAAAATACGTATGATCGCTGAGGGAGAAGAAAGTTAGGGTTTTGAGTGGCAGTGGTCTTGGGCTAGCCTTTTAATTAATTTTGGGCTGTTAATTGTATGGGGTTAATTTGTGGCTATCAGGTGATATAAATTTGGCCCTAGTGGTTACAAATGAACTTTGCTCTAAATAAAATGAGAATGCATGCCATTCTCGCATTTCAATATCTATTTAAAAAGCAAAGGGAAGATTAGGGGTGACAATTTGAGCCCAAAATTATTTGACCCGCTCATTTGTTGAACTCAGTCCATCTTGATCCCAGACCATCTCAGCCCATGTAAAGTTGAACTGTTTACTAACCCAAATTAATTCATGAGTAACTTTGCTAAAATATCTTAAAAAGTATTCTTGTTTTGTTTGATATGTTATATATGACCATAACAAAAGAAAAAAAATCTTATTTGATAATTAACAGTTCATAAGAAAATAACACACATTAATTAAAGCTTGATAAGAATTGGACGGGTTGAACTATGACCTAAATTTTAGTTCATCTTGACCCAGTTCATCTCGGCCCAAATAAATTTTAGAGGAATTATTAACCCGCCCATTTATTGACTCGGCTCATGTTGACTAGCCCAAAATCAGCCAACCCAACCATTAGACAACCTTAGGGAAGATACTCAAGTTCCCATCATCATATGCTTAACAATCACTATGACTGCTTGGTACCAGATTCACCCCTTTAATTTTGAAGAATTAATCTAAATAGTCGTTCATATCCGATCGCTTAAATAAAAAATAACAGCAGATGTATAATATGTATAATTCATGTATATAGTTAAAAAAAGTAACTTTCTATATAGCCCGTCAGGACTTTAAAATTTATTTACAAAATTGAAATTGTAGTAACCATGATATCTCATCCAAGGGCCAAGGCGATGAAGCACATTTCATTGTATATTATAGTAATAGCACGAGCTAATCAATTTTTAACATTGTAATTGAAAAATAGCCACTTTCATGAAGTTTCAAATTCTACGGGTTAAGTGAAACTCCATGACATTATCATTAAGTTCCACATGTGGATTTGAAACTCAATGATAGTGGTCATTGTTTAATAGCAAGAGCTAAAAAGTGGTTATTTGTGAAATTTATCCCATTTCATTATCTTTGGGCCTCTAGCAAGCCCATAAGGGTTTTTAACAGATCAACAGCTAAACAAAATTATCAAAATCACACTTTCCAACGAGCCCGCGTCCAACAGAGGAAGCAAATCTTGGGCTTGAGCCCTTAAGCTCATTTTTCTGTTGTAATTTTCTTTTAATTTATATTACTTTTACCTTCAAAGAGACACATTATCCAAAATATCTCCTTTGATTATAATTTTATCAAGAAACAAATATTTCTCATTTTAGAAAAATAAAATAAAATACTACCTGCTTTTTCTATGGTTGACAGAGAAAATGTCAGTCTGCTCATTGACGACACAGAAACATAAACATGAAAGTAAACTACTGGTTGATTGATTGACAAAGCTGTTCTTCTATATCTTTATACAGACAAGAGCCAAATTCTAGAATGAACATACCATAACTCTACATATCTGTGTATTCGTGCCGAAATCTCATGGCCATTAAGTTTTACTGACCATTAATGGTCACATTCTATACCTTAAAGTCTCAGAATTCCTGATGAACATGCACATATACACATACCTTAAGAAAGACAGCATTTGCCATCAGCCAACATTACGCGCAGGACTCATTCTACTCCTCCTTCCGTTAAAGCTACGACTTGAGAGCAACCTTGGAAGACAACATTGTGCTGACTTTGACGTTTTGACGTCAGATTTTAACAGTCCACTGGGTGTTCTTTCGCTACTACACACAGACGCATAAGGTGTCCCAGGTGTGGATCTTGGAGGAAGTTGAGCACCAGTTGACGCAGTTTCTTTTTTAGTATTTGTACCATTTTGTTTTTCTTCAGCATTTTGCCCATTTTGGTCCTGATCGCTTCTCAAGCTTTCTTTGAAAAGTTCAGATAATCTCTTCTTTTTATCCGTTGGGGATGATTGCTGAAAATAAGCAGGGGTTCTGTTCCCTGTTAAATTTCTAGCTAAGTGATGAACAGGTGTATTTCCACGGGATGGCGTAAAATCTGTAGTCAAATTCAGAGAATCATAAAAATACAAGATGATATACAAGAGTAAATAAAAAATGGCAGTTAGACAATTCTAAACATTGGTTTTGGACTGAAGAACACATATCTGTTAGCTGGATACCATTAACTAATTAAAAGTCGCATGTCGGAATCTTACTAATAGCTAATGTACTTTTCAAGGGTGTCGTGAGCATTTTCTTTCAAATCAAAATAAGTGATATTATTAGAATACTACTGCTTTTGCAGCTTCTCCCCGTGAATCATTAGGCACTACCCGTGAGTAGATCAAGATACAGTAATTAAAGTTCCATTTTGTAGCTCATTTATGAAAACAAAGAAAGAGAAAGGAGAGAGGATGGAATAACACGAACCATCAACTGAAGATCTTACCTCCATTCACGCTTAAGAAGTCATCTTCACAATCTGAATCCAACCAAGGCTGGGAATCAAAGAAGGTCTCCTCCTTGCTACCTACAAGAAAGAAATGTCTCTGACTCAGATAAAAGATGCAATAAAATAGAACACCATAAATATAAACTCACGCACTATGCATGAAAATTTTAAACACTTAGCAAGGTTTCCTCTGTTTCATGCAGTGAATCAGAGTGGTACTTTGAGAAACTAAAGAAGAAAACTGAAAAGGAGGATACACCATGTCCTTATCGTTATTCAACCATAAGGCTAGATAATCATATTCAAAATAAATCCATCCAATACAGATAAAGAGAAATGAGATTGGTTGGAAACACTCATTGGCAAACCACAAATGACTTTCAAGAAAGAGTGCTATTATTAGGCACATGATCAAGAACACAAGGTGATGCAGCAAAAACAACGGTAGATATGATGTTAGTATCCTCGACTAACCGTTGTTAATCCACATGAATAAAACTGAACTATGAGAAGGCTGAGGCCATTAGCCATATCAAACTAATACATTTATCTTCTGCTAGCAACAAGGAAAAGATTCAAGAAAGACAAAGAACTTAACATGCTTCCTTAAAAGTGAGGTAAACTAAAAACTGTACAGTGTTTTTATTTTACTTGTAAAATTTATTTAGTTAATTTAATTAACTTCATTACCGAGAATAATGTTGTTTTAAGCTTTGAAATTCGACGGATAATGAATTCGCCCCTCTACCCTCCTTCATTTAAACACTAAACTTGATTCATAGCAAGCTTCGGCTCATGATGTGTGCTTACCACACAACACACAATGTACTACCTTAACTATTGAACCAAAGCTCTGAAAATACTGGTAAAATTTAATTTTATCCTTAGGAAAAGAGAATATTGTTGACTATTTGCTGATCATTATAGACGGATAGTATAAGTGAGGGCAGTGTAGACCCACGACATGATATGTCAAACAAGGGGATTGGTTTTATAACAAATGTCACCCTCAGTTTTAACTATCTCAAAGAATGTTTTAGTACAACAGCTCAAGTATTGTCTTAGACATGGAGATATTGATGAATGCAACAATCAAGACATGAACTAAGATTTCCATAGGACCATCTGATGTTGATGTAAAGTTCCAAAGGACCATCAAATGTTGATGAAAATAATATCCTCTAGCAAGTGCATAATGGTATTATGTGATAGTTGTCGGTGTTAGTGAGGATGGCTTTTAATAGTAGAGGAAGAAATCTCATTATAAAGAAATATTTGTTTGATAAAAGTAGCAGCCCAGCAAAAAGAGAATGCTGCAATGACTAATTACAAGGCTGCAAAGACTCATTCTTTACAATTCATGTAATGAACTGAGGAATGCTAAAAAGTACCTTTATATATAATATTAGAAGTACTACAATATCTCCTTGGTTTAAGGTATACTACTAAGCTAAGTATTTTCTTTTTCTTTTCTGGTGATACTTTAAGCTGCTATCTTAATAATTTCTTCAGAAATTAAAAAATTGCCCTGCCCATGATAACAAGTTCTGCAGATGGCCCCATCAACTGAAGAATTTTTGGCATTATTCAAGATTCTGAAAATAGCTTCTTGGTCAATATTTCTAAGTCCACAAAGGGAATAGAGAGCTACTACTCTGTAAAATAGTATTAAAGTGTTCTTTTTAGGCCACCAACTAATATCACAAAAAATACATAACTAATGTCCATCAGATCAAACAGAACACCTCTTCAACTTTCCTTTACATTCCAAAATGCCCGGATAATCAAAGGCCAGTAATGAAATGACATATGGGTCTCATATAAATTGAAAATACCAAAAATTAGGAACAGCACAAAATCTATTAGCAGAGGCAAGAATCTAACACAGCATGACATGGCAATAGACGGTAAAGAAACGGACTTTGGGTCTCTAACTCTAATACGGCATGACATGGCATCAGACTATAAAACAACGGATATTGGGTTTAACTCAACTCTAAAAGCTCGTTCATGGGGTGAGATTGAGCATGGACAACATAACATAGAGCCTAACATAGGATAAACCAAGAATTGGTATGGGTCTAGCTCAGTCAGCGATACCATATAAAGAAATGAACCTTAGGCCTAAGGTGTAAATCGCGCAATACCATATAAGTAATTACTAAAAACACATTCAAACTAATTACTAAACATCCCATATAACATCCCACAACCAATGTGAGACAACTCAACACAAACTAATTACTAAAAAAACATTCAAAATCAGAAACATATGTTAACCTTCAATTCAAAAAGACAGCAGCTTTCCCCTTTTTTCCACATTGCCAAACAATATAACAGAGTTATCACAGAGTTTCTGTTGTAAAATAACAAATGAATAAAGAGAGAGTAATAGGGTAGTACCAAAGTCAGGAAAAGTAGTAACAGCAGGAGTTTGAGATTTGAGTTGAAGATCAGAGACTTTGGTATCATTTTTGTTGAGAGGTGAAGGAGTGACAAGCTTGTCAGTTTTGGAAGAACCAAAAACAAGACGAATTTTCATGGCTGATTCAGAGTCTTTGTGCACTGAAACACATGAACCCATTTACTAAACACACAACACACACACACCCCCTTTACAATCACAATTCCATATCAAACAAAATTTCTGCAGTAGAGAGAGAAAGAGTGAAGTAGAAGTGAGAGAAAGGAGAGACAACTAAACAGGGAGAAGAGCAAAAGGCTATGCCTTTGCGTTACAAATAAAAGAGTTGAAAATTCGTCTAAAAAAAGATAAAATTGGGGCTTGAAAGCGAAGTTATCGTAATTTGGTAGTAAGAGTAGAGGAGCAGAAAGGTCCCACCCAAAAAAAGTCGGAATCATTGCAATCTACTGTTCCATAGGGGTTTGGCTTTTTGTTTACCACCATATAATTTTTCCTTCGTCCCAAAAATGAAATGAATATTTTAATTTATTATTTCCTTATGTGAACTCATTGGAGACGAAATTTAAAAAAAAAGAGAAGACTTTTGAATTTGTGGTGTAAAATAAAGCACATATATTTTGTGTGGCTATAAATTATTATATAAAAGTAAATTATTTCCAAATAAGAAAATATGTTATTTTTTTTGTACAGACTAAAAAGAAAATAAGTTCAACCAATAGAGTAATTATTATAATTTATAGTAATTTTATATAATTTTTAAATAAATAAATTTTATTTTATAAAATTTAAAGGTGTAAAAAATTTGACTCTCACAACTTGTTTAGGATATTTATGCCTTGTTGACTTTTATGTGCTTTAGTTCCCGATAATAATTCCGCATACGAAGTTTTAGATAGGTAAAAAGAGATTATATAGTATAGTATGTCATATTTCTCTCTCTCTCTCTCTCTCTCTCTCTCATTTAAATCCTAACTTATAAGATTTTCCTACTATATTAATTGTTAGACTACACCCTTGAATGTTCGTTAATGTTTTTTTTGTTCTTAACAAGATAAAAGTAAATGAAAAATAGATATCGGTGAGAGGAAAATGATTCAATATTGGTCATTTTGGATTAGAGAAATTATGAGGAGATTGATTTTATGATCGATTTTTAATATATTTTTAATTTTATGATTATTTTCATAAAAAAATAATAAAACATAAAGATCGACAAATAAATAAAAAGAATCTCCACAGGATCATTTTTCTTAATTCCATACCATAACAAATGATAGAAGTGTTATAAAATAAAGTAAGTAAAGTAAAGACAACTATAGAGAGAAACTGATATATTATTCAAACTTCAAACTTATGTACATAATGAACTGAAAACTCCTCTATTTATAGAAGAAAGGAAGCTGCTGTGTAAGATGCTACTGCAAGCTGTTGTGTAAGTTGCTACTCTAAGCTGTTGTGCAAGATATAGATAATCTTCTACCATGGGTAATATTTATCCATAACGGAGTACCGAAAGGATAAACTTCTTCAGGAGACTTATTTCCAATAGAGTACTAAATAGATAAACATATTTACGGCGGAGTCTCATATGGATAAGCTTTTTTCAGGAAGCTTATTTACAATGGAGTACTAAATGAACATCCATAATATAATATATTTATAACACTCCCCCTTGGATATTCATTAAAAGATAATGTGCCTCATTAAAACCTTGCTAGGAAAACATTATGTGAGAAAAAACCTTAGTAAGGAAAAAAGAGTATATCGCGTATTTTACTCCCCTGATGAAAACTTTATTTTAAATATTTAAGTCTCCGCATTCCAATCTTGTAAACCATCTTCTCAAAAGTTGAAGTTGGTAAAGATTTAGTGAATAAATCTGCTGGATTGTCACTTGAACGGATTTGTTGCACATCAATATCACCATTTTTCTGATGATCGTGTGTGTAGAATAATTTTGGTGAAATGTGCTTCGTTCTATCTCCTTTTATAAATCCCCCCTTCAATTGGGCTATGCATGCAACATTGTCTTCGTATAAAATTGTGGATCTTTTCTCACATTTCAAACCACATTTATCTCGAATAAAATGAATTATTGATCTTAACCATACGCATTTCCTACTTGCTTCATGAATAGCTATTATTTTAGCATGATTTGAAGAAGTAGCAACAATATATTGCTTTGTGGAGCGCCATGATATGATAGTACCTCCACATGTAAACACGTACCCGGTTTGAGATCTAGCTTTATGGGGATCAAATAAATAACTTGCATCTGCATAACCAATAAGATCTGCACTATCTTTGTTAGCATAAAATAAACCCATATCAAGAGTTCCTTTTAAATATCATAATATATGCTTAATCCCGTTCCAATATCTCCGTGTAGGAGAAGAACTATATCTTGCTAGTAAATTAACATAAAATGCTATGTCAGGCCTTGTAGCATTAACAACATACATTAGTGCAGCAATTGAACTGAGATAGGGTACTTTGGGACCAAGGAGTTCCTCATCCTATTCTGGAGGTCGGAACAAATCTATATTCACTTCAAGTGATCGAACAACCATTGGTGTACTCAATGAGTGCACTTTGTCCATGTAAAAAAGTTTTAAGACCCTTTCTGTATAGGCAGATTGATGAATAAAGATCCCGTATGCTAAATGTTTAATTTGCAGACCAAGAAAAAGTTTTATTTTTCCGAGATCTTTCATCTCAAATTCTTTCTTAAGATATTCAATTGCTTTTTGGATCTCTTATGAAGTTCCAACAAGATTTATGTCATCAACATAAACAGCAAGTAAAATAAATTCTGAAGCCATTTTTTTTTATAAAAATACATGGACAAATAACATCATTTATGTAACCCTCTTTCACCAAATATTCACTGAGGCGATTATACCACATGCGCCCAGATTGCTTTAAACCGTACAAAGATCTTTGTAATCTGATTGAGTATATTTTTCGAGATTTTGAATATGCTTCAGGCATTTTAAATCCTTCAGGGATTTTCATATAAATCTCATTATCAAGTGACCCGTACAGATAAACTGTAACCACATCCATTAGATGTATTTCAAGCCTTTCACTTAAGGCTAAACTGACGAGATATCGAAATGTTATGGCATCCATAACGGGTGAATATGTTTCTTCATAATCGACTCCAGGTCGTTGTGAGAATCCTTGTGCAACAAGGCGAGCCTTGTATCTTTCAACTTCATTTTTATCATTCTTTTTTTGCACAAAAATTCATTTATGCCCAACTGACTTTATACCAGCAGGTGTTTGGACTACTGGTCCAAAGACCTCTCTTTTAGCAAGTGACTTCAATTCCGATTGAATTGACTCTTGCCATTTTGGACAATCAGATCTTTGTCGACATTCTTTGACAGATCGGGGTTCAAGATTCTCACTATCTTGCATAATGTTAAGTGCAACATTATATGC